AACCAAACTTTTGAATGTAGATTTTTTCGCTTGAATACGTTTATGTTCTGCGCTTCACAGATGCTTTTTTATAATTCGGAGATACAAAAAAAAATTTTATAATTATTTTAACACGTTGCCTCTGACGGGTTTAGCAAATAACAGCAAGCATTTCTACACACTCAGCTACGGCCGCTTTATAAATCTGTCATCAAATGTTCAACTTGAATAAATTTTCTTCTTCCTTTGATTTGGTTCTGCACTCCACAGAGGCTTTTTCGTAATTAATAAAAACCATAAACAGAAAAAGTAAAAATTTTGTGTTGTACCTCTGCACGTTCAGCCACTGCCATACATACGAATTTGTTCTCAAATATTCAACTTCAATCACATTTCTTACAATCGGCTTATTAACCATGAAAAAATCAAACCATAGCTTGGTTGAAAAAACCATTGTGCTTTTGGCTCAGTGTAGGAGTATAGCTTTTTTATGGACCTCCTCAAATGCATGTGCATACATGTTTATTCATATATCTGTGTTGACTTTAGTAGAATGTATCATACGCAGCGTAGAAAACTATCGGCAAACAAAAATGACAGAACTGCGAAATAATTGTGATACCAGAAACCGTCTGTCAGTATTCTCATCAAGAAAGTCTTTGTTATGTATGTAAATAAATAATAAATGGAGTGGTACACTACACTAAAATAAACTTTCAAATATGTATAAGCTGGTATGTGATGTGAACACAGATATGTACATGTACATGTGTACATACACATAAATATGCACCTAAGGATATGTAACGATAAATAAGTATTTACATACATTTGTTCATATCTTTGTACTTTGTTGGCTTAAGAAAGCATCGGCTCGGTAATTACACAGGCTTACAAATAATTATGTAACGATTTTTTTTTTGCCCAAGAACAAGACCATTCAATTCCCAATAGCAAGCTTTTTAGAGTTATAAGTACGGTGACCATCGACCTTCATTTTAAAAGTCGTTTATTTAACCCCCTGTCCTTTATATATTGTTTTTTAAATAAAGGACGTTTTTTGTCCTTTATTTCTTAAACTGTCCTTTAAACCGGCTCTGCATTTCAGAGGTAAAGTTTTAAACGCAAATATGAAAAATAAAAATGTCCCTTATAAAATATAATGAAAACCTTCGCCAGTTTGTTTCGCACCCCACTTAATGGCTTCTATTAAGTGGGGAATCTTCGTACAAGCACAAGTAAAGTTGTGCCCAGGATCGTATTGTACGCTGAGCTTCCAGTTCCACTGAAAGAGAACAATAAACCGCCAGCTGCCCAGTGGTTCAGAACTGTAATTTATGTTCGTAATTCACTGGAGCCTTCATTTTTCACTTAATTTGATTAATATCTATTTTTTTTTATGAAAGCTTACAACATTTACAAGACACCAGTTGAGCCTGATTTCTGAATTTTTATTTGATTATAATAAATTTTTTCCCGCAAAATGCAGAAAAAGTAGCAATTTTTAAGACAATACATTCTCCTGTTCCAGTTAACAAATGTAACATAACAAAACCTAGTTGAAAACCATTGTATGGTTCTTCCAAAACAAAAAAAAAAATAATAATAATACATAAGAAAAATTTGGAAAGGTTGTAAAAAAATTTTCACCAAAATAAATATTTTTGTTTTGGTTTTTAGTAAAAATCGGTTGAAAAATGAAGGTTGCGGTGGAATATGAACATTAAATTCCAATTTTGAATNAATTTTCTTCTTCCTTTGATTTGGTTCTGCACTCCACAGAGGCTTTTTCGTAATTAATAAAAACCATAAACAGAAAAAGTAAAAATTTTGTGTTGTNTGAATAAATTTTCTTCTTCCTTTGATTTGGTTCTGCACTCCACAGAGGCTTTTTCGTAATTAATAAAAACCATAAACAGAAAAGGTAAAAATTTTGTGTTGCACCTCTGCACGTTCAGCCACTGCCATACATACGAATTTGTTCTCAAATATTCAACTTCAATCACATTTCTTACAATCGGCTTATTAACCATGAAAAAATCAAACCATAGCTTGGTTGAAAAAACCATTGTGCTTTTGGCTCAGTGTAGGAGTATAGCTTTTTTATGGACCTCCTCAAATGCATGTGCATACATGTTTATTCATATATCTGTGTTGACTTTAGTAGAATGTATCATACGCAGCGTAGAAAACTATCGGCAAACAAAAATGACAGAACTGCGAAATAATTGTGATACCAGAAACCGTCTGTCAGTATTCTCATCAAGAAAGTCTTTGTTATGTATGTAAATAAATAATAAATGGAGTGGTACACTACACTAAAATAAACTTTCAAATATGTATAAGCTGGTATGTGATGTGAACACAGATATGTACATGTACATGTGTACATACACATAAATATGCACCTAAGGATATGTAACGATAAATAAGTATTTACATACATTTGTTCATATCTTTGTACTTTGTTGGCTTAAGAAAGCATCGGCTCGGTAATTACACAGGCTTACAAATAATTATGTAACGATTTTTTTTTTGCCCAAGAACAAGACCATTCAATTCCCAATAGCAAGCTTTTTAGAGTTATAAGTACGGTGACCATCGACCTTCATTTTAAAAGTCGTTTATTTAACCCCCTGTCCTTTATATATTGTTTTTTAAATAAAGGACGTTTTTTGTCCTTTATTTCTTAAACTGTCCTTTAAACCGGCTCTGCATTTCAGAGGTAAAGTTTTAAACGCAAATATGAAAAATAAAAATGTCCCTTATAAAATATAATGAAAACCTTCGCCAGTTTGTTTCGCACCCCACTTAATGGCTTCTATTAAGTGGGGAATCTTCGTACAAGCACAAGTAAAGTTGTGCCCAGGATCGTATTGTACGCTGAGCTTCCAGTTCCACTGAAAGAGAACAATAAACCGCCAGCTGCCCAGTGGTTCAGAACTGTAATTTATGTTCGTAATTCACTGGAGCCTTCATTTTTCACTTAATTTGATTAATATCTATTTTTTTTTATGAAAGCTTACAACATTTACAAGACACCAGTTGAGCCTGATTTCTGAATTTTTATTTGATTATAATAAATTTTTTCCCGCAAAATGCAGAAAAAGTAGCAATTTTTAAGACAATACATTCTCCTGTTCCAGTTAACAAATGTAACATAACAAAACCTAGTTGAAAACCATTGTATGGTTCTTCCAAAACAAAAAAAAAAATAATAATAATACATAAGAAAAATTTGGAAAGGTTGTAAAAAAATTTTCACCAAAATAAATATTTTTGTTTTGGTTTTTAGTAAAAATCGGTTGAAAAATGAAGGTTGCGGTGGAATATGAACATTAAATTCCAATTTTGAATCACTGTGTGCTGGCTTCGTCGTGCAGTATGAATTATGGTAAACGCATTTTGGTAGCAAATGATGACGAAGTCCTTAAAATTAATGATTTGGCTTCATTTTTCGCTACAGCGGGGGAACTTGTACAATTAAATAATATAATTAACTTGTAAATATTTGATTACTTTATTACTGGTAAATATTTGAATTACGATATGGGTAAGGTACTTTTATCATACAAGTTGTATGTACGTCTTCCCAAATCATTTTTGAAAAAATATCCTTTATTTTACGTTGGTTAATATGTTCACCGTAGTTATAAGAGGGAGTTCTCATACGAATAACTTTTAGTTTTAAAAATTTGTGGATTTTGAACGCAAACATAATAAAATGTATCACAATCATTCACACCAGTGATGCTCAAAACAGCGCCCGCGGGCGGAACTCTTCAAAGCTCTTTGTAGATTTTATACGCGCACCGCTGCTCTCTGTTAAAATTGAGTACTAAATACATAGTCGAAAAAGATAAACGAACCGCTCTAAAACCACTTAATTTTTACTGCCGTATCTAAACAAACGCGTTTTCGGACGCCTAGTGTTAACGCCAAAGTGCCATACCCTAAACAAAAACATCCAATAATCAACGATGCTCAGAGAGAGCTTTTACGATGTGCGCGTCTATATAAAATCTACAGAGAGCTTTGAAGAGTTCCGTCCGCAGGTGTTGTTTTGAGCATCGCTGCCCTACATGCATATAGTTATATAGTATAGTAGTAGCAGTATAGATTGAAATTTTCAAAGAATTTTACAAAAATACATTGTGTGTGGGAAACTTGTTAAACTTCGTTACATACATGTAATTTTTTTTAATCTTTGTAAATGTCTTGAAAACGTGTATTTTTGGTGAAACATGATTTATAAACGAAAGATAGAAAATTTAATTACTTTTGATATATCGAGAGGTTATATTCCATACGACCTTTCTGCAGTTTACACAAAAACCATCTTCTGATGCTAGAACCTATCTGAGACTTAATGGTCATCACTGATTGCAATTTAAAATTTTTAAATTCAATAGTTGGTTCTTCTGACAAGCGATATACAAGGACAGCATTAACATCATAGATGACAGTTAAGTAAAATTTGTATATAGGAATATTATTTTTGTATAAACTGCAGATATGTAGATGATTTGGAATATAAGCCCGCGATATACTCTGGTTTGATCGGTAATCCGTTAACCGATATTAGAACTTTTGTATGTGGCGATATTCCGAAAACTACATGACAAAAACAAATTACGTAGATTTGCGGTCTCAGCGACCGATTTTATATGGGAGGTGGATGGTCTCGTTCTTCAGTTTGTTTGACTGTAAGCTACTGTTATTATTACAGTGAAACTGCATCGATATTGATTGTTAAATCTAAATAAATAAATACGTACATCTATAATTGCTAACTACGCTGCTTTCTAAAGCTACTAAACTTTTATTTATACATATGCATATTACACACTTTTCCATACTTACCTATATGTAGACACTTCTATAAAATTACTATGAGCATGAAAAGGCTTCCAAAGTAATTACTTCAGCTAAGCTTTGTCGAAAACTTGTCTCGCTTTTAAAACTCGTCTGTCTATGAATGAAAAAAAAAAAATAAAAGATTTTAATGGTTTTCTTGCATTCTTGTCGAACCAAAGGCTGAAGCGGAAAAGGAGGCTAAACTGAAGAAGAAACAACAAGAAAAAGAGGAGAGGGAACGCAAGGAACGCGAGAAGAAAGAAAAAGAGGCCAAGGAGAAGGCTGCCAAGGAGAAAGCCGCAAAGGAGAAGGCAGCTAAAAGTGTTGCAGCTGAAGGCATCAATGGTGAGTTAAAATTTATAAGAAAAAGTAACCATTTCTAATTATTTTCTTTTCAGGTAACGATGACTTGAATGACTCTAGCAAATCGGAAAAGTCCAGCAAAGGACGTGTAAGTATTCTTGAAAAAGGTTGTGTATGTATGTATATACAAACACAAATTGGGTTTTGACAAACAAAAAACCTAATTACATTAAAATCTAGTCTGTCATAGCGCATAACCCATATAATATTTTTCCGGGAATATAATAATGACAAACGCTTCTGAAAAAAAACTCCAAGAATGCGAGAGGTGTATAAAGCACGATTGTTTCCAAATCGCTCCATCCGATGTGGTGTACTGTGATCCCCACTGGCGTATTATGCATTCATATGTCTAAAAGATGCTTTCTAAATTCTTTGAATTTTCATTTGTAGCGTAGTGTCCCTCTGCCCTTGTTAATATTTTTAATTCTTATTGCATATTTTAAGTTAAGTACGTACATATCTACATATATTTCGTGTGTAGAGAATTTTTATTCGGGTTTAAGCATTTTTGTAGTGTATTTTTAAGTTTTTAATTTTTATTGACTTTGTTGTTGGTAAACTTTTTATTTATCCCCGTTTACATGTATTTCTTTTTATTTCCTTATGTAATTGGAAACATTTATGACACAACCAATATGCGATTCTAAATAATCATCAAACACAACGAACAATTGGGCACTCTTACACTGCGCATTTGAATTATTCTCTTTCGGCACAATAGGGTGGTGGTTTTTTCTCGTCCGGTCGCAAGAGCAAGAGCGGCTCCCCGACCAAAGAATCCAAGCAAAAGGATGGTAAGAGTGGTGAGTTGGTCTACGCTGAACTTGAACACGGTAAGCCTAATAATCAAGCTAATGATGATAAAAACCGAGCTTCACGTCAACCCGGACACACCAGGCCTTATGAATACTCAGATGGTAAAGGTGAAACAAGCCCCACACGAAAATCTTACATTCCTGGTGGTTTCCGTTATGACCAGGATCCGCAGAGTGGTAAGCGATCTGGTCAGGAGGGTGAGGGACAGCTGTCACCCACTGCTGAACAAAAGAAGACCGCGATTGCATTCAATTATGCACCTGGCCATGATGACACTCTGAAGAAGACCGCAGAGAAACTAAAGAGCGGCCAGCTATCACCACGCACGCGTGATAAGATAAACAAGGGCCAATTGTCACCAACGAGTCGCGCGAAACTTTTAAAAGATGCAAATCTGTCGCCGACAACACGTGCTAAGCTGCAAGGTAGTGCCGTTGATGCAGCCGCGTCTCCGTTGTCCGATGCACAAAAACGATCTTATTCGCCAACTAAGGGCCAAGCAGCTGGTTACACTTCAGGTGCTCCTGGCAGTTATAAGCCACTGGTCGATCCCACAGCTGCTTTCCTCGAATCTGAGCGTTACAACAGGGAAGCATCAGTTGGTTCTGGTACTGGAACTGGTAAAGGTGGCCCCGCCAGTCCTGCTGATGCAGCAGCGGCTGGAAAAGGAAGGGTTACCACACCAGTTTCTCCTAAAAAAGCCGGCAGTGGGTTGGCTGCAGGCTCTGCTGCTGGATCCACTCCTGTTAAGCCCAAGAAGAAGCGTGTCAAGATTATGGTAATTACATCAAAATTTGATCCAATCACGAAGCGCATAGATACTGAAAATGGTGAAATTGAGCACTCCACGGGCATACTTGATCCGGAGAGCGGCCTTATTGACAGCAAGTATGGTCAAATTGATCCCAGAAAGGGCACTCTACTGGCCTTGAATACGAAGACTGGCAAAAACGAATTATACCAAGGAGAAGTTGATCCAAAAACTGGAAATGTACAGCTAGTGTCTGGTGTTGCAGATCCTAGCACCGGTCGTTTGGATGAGAGTTTGGGACAGGTAATTTGTATTACGCCACAAGACAATCCCGTGGTGGAACTCATTGTTATCACAAGTCGCATAGATCCGGCTACAGGCAAAGTTGATACAGTCAACGGTGAAGTAGAACGCTCTCTTGGAGTACTAAATGTGGATTCAGGCCTGCTTGACACAAAATACGGTGAAATTAATACCAGAACGGGCGAGTTGAAAGCTATCGATCCGAAAACAGGCAAAATTGTGGTCTCCAAAAATGTGAAGGTTGATCCAGCCACAGGCCAAATAACTATATTGGGGGTCACAGATCCAAAAACTGGTAAACTAGATAACGCTCAAGGTCGTATTATTGAAGTTGGTCAACAGATTGATCCCATTGTTGAGGTTACTTCACTTGCTGGTAAATATGATTCGAAGAAAAATATCATTGATCCAAAAACAGCTCATGTTGAAACTTCTGGTGGCCAATTCGATCCCAAGGCCGGCAAGATTGATACAAAGTACGGTCAAATTGATTTGGTTAAACATACTATTACCTTCGCCGATCCAAAATCCGGCAAAACTGTTACACGTGATATCAAAATCGATCCAACCACCGGCCAAATTGTGCTTAAAAATCAAATAAATCCAAAAAATAACAAACCTGATAAAGATTACGCTCGGATTATATCCTTACGAATTGTTCAGCAACGAGTAGATCCGAAAACGAAAGCACCAATTGCTCAAGTCAGCTCAGCGAAGGACAAGGAGATTATTGTCGATCCAAAATCGAATCAAATTTGGATGCCCACCGGTGCCAGCGACCCGAATACAAAGGAGTCTCAATACATTTCCAGCAGCGTGGATCCAAAGACCGGTTACGTCATTACGATTTATGGTTACCTCGATCCCAAAACGAACGAAATTAAAAAACAAAACAAACTCGACCCCAACACCACCAAAATAGAACCATCCTCTGGTAAGATCTACACCGCTACCGGAGAGGTAGACAAAACTACCGGCGAACCGCTCTATGCCACCACCCAAGTTGATCCCGAATCTGGCGATGTGTACACTAAAGTCGGACGTGTTGACCCTAAAAGTGGAAAAATTGTCATTGTTCGAGTATTGCTCATCTCCAAGACCGATGAGCGCGGCCGACCTGAAGAAATCGATCCAGCGACATGTGAAATTGATCCGGTCTCTGGTCGAATTCTCAAGTTCTTCAACAAAACTGTTTATGTTTATACTATGATAGATCCAGTAACAGGTGAAATTGTACAGGTTGATCCCAATGATCCACGCTTCGCGGGAGCACGCACCACCGTCACACAAACAATGACACTAACAGGCGAAATAGATCCGGTGACAGGACGTATTAAGAGCGAATATGGCGACATCGATCCAAATACAGGCGACATCGATCCAGCCACAGCAGTGCGTGACCCAGTGACAGGCAAATTGATTCTCAATTACGCTCAAATCGATCCATCACACTTCGGCAAAGAGGCGCAAGTAAGCACAACTACCGAGACCGTTCCAATCACACGCGAGCAGTTCTTCGAAGGCGTCAAACACATGGGCAAAAATGCGCTGCGCCGCGACTCAGAGGCCAGTTCAGACGATGACATGGCACAGCAGTATGCCAGTGAGAATATTAAGGATATGGTCCTGAATAGCCCCAACAAACAAGCCGATGGCACAACGGTGACCACAACTACAACAAAACAGGCGGGCAAATATGGCACACCAACGGTGGTGAAGACAACCACAAAACAAGTGCTAACCAAGAACGATGACGGCGTAACGCACAATGTGGAGGAGGAGGTGCGCAATTTGGGCACAGGCGAGGTTACCTATTCAACGCAGGAGCACAAGGTTAGCAACCCATGCGTATATTGTAGTTTGTTTGGAGAACTTTTGGTAGTTTCACAGAGTTAGTATAACTCAAAGCAGAATTTTATTTGATTCGAATGATTAAGAAGTAGAGGCAATGACACCGCCTGATTTGGTAGAACTTGAATACTTTTGTGAAGCTTCACGCATCTTTTTATTTTACTCATATTCGTAAGTATTGAGTATTAGAAGTAGAAAAAGAAGCCTATAGTTGGAATAGATTTTCCGTACCTACATATTATAATTTTCGTTCGAAATCTTAATCATTTTACCTATTATCTCCTGACCCTGCGATACAACTTTGATTTAAAATGAAGTAAGTAAATCACAAATTGACAATGTAGTAAAATGATTATATTCATGTGTATGTAAGTACGTTGCATGAGTTTTTTGTTCCCCTTTTGTTGTTTAAATGTTGCAACTTCAGCCTGGTATCATTTACATAATTTCATTTATAAAAAGAATAATTCGTTAAAGATGTTTCGTATCGGTAATTAATGATCAGTCACCGTTAGTGACTACGCTGACTACGCTGACTGCCAAAATTAGTCTTTATTAAATTTTTTTAGTTAAACTGTCCAAACTGTGTTCCGAAACAACCACAAAACTATTAAAAAATATTTATGGCGTTTCTACTAAAGTTGCCTGATTTTCTGTAAAATATATTTAAATCTAATTAAAATCGGAATATCTGTTTCAAAAATATAAAATTTCAGAAAAGTAAAATTTTAATGCTATCTATATAGCTCATACAATCAGTGGCGGACACAGGTAGGGGAAATTTGGGAAATCCCCCCCAAAGACTGTGTAACATGTATTTTCATAATGAAATATCATTACAAGAATATATAACAGGTTTGTCCCACAAGCTACATGTAGAAAAACTCGAGCAAAGTTCAAACTGTGAGCGTATATCAAAAAAACTCGAAAACTTACTTGCAGACCGCGTATATGTAACTCGAAGTGACTTCGAGAAGCTTGGGGAACAAACCTAATGAGTGGATGCTTTTGAAAATTTTAATTCATGGAAAAAGTGTCTCAAATTTCACTTGAGTTTGAAATTTTAGCTGTGTGTTAAACTCGAAGTATTATGTTATTTAAATAGGCCTATCCGTTTTTCGAATTCACTGAATTTTCAAAATTTTGAAATTATGTACTTAATTTTAAATTTTTACTTTTTTTGTTATATTTTCGAATTTGTATTATTTTACAACGTTGAAAGTTACAGCAAGTTTGAATATTTTCGCAGGTTCAGAAAACAACGAAAATTCAAAAATTTTGAATATATAATATTAAACTTCTTGAGATTTCTTATTTTTAGGATAATTACCAAAATTTCAAAAACTATCGAAATCCGGGAGATTCTAGAAATTTTGGTAAAATGAGAATATTTTGAAATGTACAAAATTATTGAGATTTTAGAAATTTTCTATATTTTCCAAAATTTTGAGAATTTTTTTTATCCTAAAAGCCATACTAAAATGTAAAAATGGGAAACATCACAAATTGTCGAAAAATTCTTATGTTCATGTACTTGTGTGTAAAAAATAGAAAATTCTTAGAAAGATATTAAAATTTTTGAAAAATTCTATAATTGTTCCACTTTTCTGGACTTTTCAAAATTTTGTATTGATATAAAAAGTTTGAGAATTTTAAATTTTGAAATTTTTTAATATTCAAGAATTACGAAAATTTTTTAAATTTTCAAAAAAGACGAAATATGAAAATGTTTTCAACATTCGAAAACTTTTAATTTCGTTTGATCTATTTTGCATATTCGACACTTTCACTTAAAACAAATTTGTTAGAATTCCTACAATTCTCAAAATTTTTGAAAAATAAAAAATTTCTAGAAATCTAGTATTCATCATAATATTGAATTATTGGGGTTTACTAAAATTTCTCAAATTCGCAAAGTTTTGAAAGTTTAGAAAATTTTGGAATTCCAATCAAGTTATTAAAAAGGGGAAACTTCAAGAATTGCTGCTGGGTCCGCCCCTGATACAATTTTAAAAATTTTGTAAAATTCTTTCGTGTATGGTACTCTCTTATCCAGCACTGTCATTTCACTAAACTACAGATTACTCTAAAGACCACTTGCAGATAATGATAAATATATAAATAAAAAAACACATTCTAAAATAACTTAAAATTTCGATTAAATGCAATCAAATAACTTAATTATAATTTAAATTTGATATTTAAGTTTTAAATAAGCTTAGTTTGCATTCGTCATATTTTTACTTACAACATTTTTTATGTGTATTATTTTAACCCTGGTTCGCTTTCATTTCCTTATGTTAACTTATCCATTAAACAATTGAAAACCTTACACTAACCAGGCTGATGCTGATGTAAGCGGTGCCTATGTAACCGCCACGGCCGTGACCACCCGCACAGCCACTACCCATGAAGATTTGGGTAAGAAGGCTAAAACCGAGCAACTCGAAGAGAAAACAGTGGCGACGACGCGAACCCACGATCCTAATAAGCAGGAACAGCGAGTCGTCACACAGGAAGTAAAGACCACTGCAACGGTGACTAGCGGTGATCAGGTAAGAACCATGTATCGACTGCGCGACACGACAAGCGACGAGCGCGTAAACGTGCCGAAGATTGCAAGTTCTGTAACGCCTTCAGCCACGTTGCATGCTCCCAATTAGCTGCATGTTATACTACTTAATTTCTTAATTTCATATTCGATTTTAACAATTTATTTACTTTACTTTTCTTTGCATTGTATTTATTTATTGATTTATATCGATTTTTTTGCGCCTTAAATCGCCTGTGTTGATTGCCGTACTCGTAAATTGCATTAATTGTACTGTTGTTTGAAATTATACTAATAAATCGACCTGTGTTTGGAATGTGTTTGAAAAATAATTTCAAAAAATATCGAACAAAACGCAATTACCGTAAACTGTAGTTCCGAGACCGTGGAGACAGTATTTCATCGACTAGTTCTGGCGACTCGGGCACGCCCATCGACGGCCCATATGATGGGTCCAGTGTGGTGCGTACCTCGACCAGTTCCAAGGTTTGTGCCAAATCAGAAAAAAAATTCATTGATTTATATTATTTTGTGCTTAAATATTGCACATATGAATGTACATATTTTTATACATACATACCCACCAAGCAAAACATAAGAAATAGGCAACAATCGTCAATGGCAATCAATTGGCGACTCGTCGATTTATTGCCATGGTGAGAAATCGGCAACATCATTTCTTTCATGTAATTTTAGTAATATGTTTTCAATAAAAATCAAGCTGATAAATTTAGCATCAACAGTATTCTGCAAAAACATCTATTGTATGCCAAAGATAGGATTAAAAAATAGGAAGCGCCCTATTTAGCGGAGGAAACAAATAATTTCGTTTTAAAATTATAATTTTTTAATCAAAAATAAATTAAGTATTAAATAAGAAAAAATTTTCCAAACATTGCCTATAGCAATAATAAAGTGATAAGAAAACGGCTCATTCAGGTAATAAGAAAATGACTCGATCATAAGAAATCGATACGATGGCGATATTGCCGGCAATAAAGTTGTTTCCGAGGGCGACATGTTTTCTTATTGCCGGCAACAAAAATTGTCTGGTGGGTATGTATTATTAGCAAGCTGTTTATTTCCTTTAATATAGTAGTCGTACATTGATTCAAAAGCATCCATAAAACCATATTTTTTCAACCCAATATTTTTATATCGTAGTACATACAAAAGTATACTTCTGAATAAATTTCAAGTTTCAAGATCTAAAGAATTTCTGTTCATTCTAACAGCCTTCGCCTTTGATTGGAACCAGCTCCACTACGGCAGGCCCACATGTTGAACAGACCCGCGTCATATTGGGAGAAGACACTCCTGGCTACTCGGGACATGGCGAAATAGTTTCAACCCAAACGCTCAGCAGTAAAACGCGAACTGTGGAAACTATAACGGTGAGTTGAAATGCAAATGAATTTCATCTTCCAAAAAACAGACTATATACATATACTAGCAGACCCGGCGAACTTCGTCCCGCCTAAAATTAGATTTTTAACTTAAACATTTTGGTCCAACATTTTCCCCAACAATCCACATTTACGATTTATACTGGTGGTCGTTTGCCGCCTTAAATAACCGAACGAAAGTGTTATGTCCATGAGAAGTTCCCTGGTGGCAACAATGATCAGGATCTATAGTATATATGCCCTAGAAACTTTATCTTATAGTTGGTGGCAATTTCAAATGGATGCGTATCTTTGTTCCACAGAAATCAACCATACATAGACTGAGATGAAATACCTTAAAAGCCAGTTTCACAACAGCAATTTAAGTGAAAAATTATTTTTTCTGTCAGGTTCTATATTGAATTCAATTAAAAAATTAAATTTCCATTAAATTGCTTTCATGAAACTGGCTTTTAAGGTATTTCGACAGGTGGTGATTTGAGATTTACCACTGCACAACTCAACCCTGGTTTCTTCGAATGAAGGTTTAACGCATAATAATATTGGCAAATCACGTCCATTAGACCATCGTAACACACGAGAGTTCGATATACTCAATGCAATGCAACAGGTCGAATAAGTCTGACATTTACGGTAGGTTTAGTAATAACTCGACCTCAGCACCACCTAACAGCTGTTTTTTGTAATTGGACTGCCTTACCGATTCCAATACATGTTTTGAATATTCACCAAATCGGATCATAAACAGATTTTTAGTAATAACTCAACTCCAGCGCCAACTGGCGGATTAAATTGTGAAACTAAACTATCCAGAGACCCACTCAAACACACACACAAACCTTTTTTTGAAATCCCTCCAGCCAGTTAGGATTTCACTCACAAATATACCTACAGAAAAATTATATACACATTCAAAGATAAGTAAAAGTCAGTACGTTTGTACTTTTCCACACCCCCTTTTTAAAGAGCCTATTTTTTCTCAATGAGTATGGGCTTAATTTCATATGTCTCCATACGAAGTGTTCCAGTGCTGTACCATGAACTCTTCCAGAGATATGCAGTATGAAATTTGGAAGGTGCAACGCCCCCTTTTCCAATAGCTCCACATTTTCTCCATGACTATGCGATTCATTCATATATCACCACACCGAGTTCCAGTACTCTACCAAGAACAATTCTAGAGATATGCAATAAGAAAAATTCTTCTTGTATGGGAGGTGCCACGCCCGTATAAAGTTCTAGTACTCTACCATGAGCACTTCCAGAGATACTTATTATCAAAAATTCGGTTTGTATGGGAGCTGCCACGCCCCCTTTTCAAATAGTACGAATTTTTCGTCATGAGTATGCAATTGATTTCATGTATCTGCATACCAAGTTCCAGTACTCTACCATGAATATTTCCAGAGATATACAGTATCACAATTTCGGTTTGTATAGAAGGTGCCACGCCCTTTTCCAACAACTCAAATTTTTCTCCATGAGTATGTGATTATTTCATATATTTCCGTACCAAGTTCAAAAATTTTACCATGAACGCTTCCAGATATATGCTGTATAAAATATTCGGGTTGTATGGGAGGTACCACGCCCTCTTTTCCAATAGCCCTGCAAGGGTATGCAATTGATTTTATGTATCTCCACACCAAGTTTCAGTACTCTACCATGAACATGAAAAAGTCGGTTTGTATGGGAAGTGCCACGCGCCCTTTTCAAATGCCTCCAATTTGTATCCAAGAGTATGGGATTTATTTCATATATCCCCATCCCAAGTTCCAATTAACATTAGCACGTATGTATAAGTATACATAACCCTTGCTTTGCGCTGTATTCCATACGAATTAGCAGCAGATGGCGCTCTCAGCGCTGTTATGTGGGCATGTATGTTAGATTCATAGGATTTTTAAAGTCTTGCAGTTCCATTTTTACCTTCCTTTTATTAGCTCGGGATGTTACTATGTAATATTGATGCGCCTAAAAGATGCAACGATTTCTATTCTCAAGTTACATACCTGATGACAGTACTAACGGCCTTTATAATAGGGAGGTTTTAGTTTTTTAAACTATATTGTTATTAGGGAAGTATTTTAACCGTTGTTTTATGGGAAGCCCATACAGAACCTATAACCGAAATTTAAAAAAAATCGGTACAGCCGATCTCGAGCTTTGCGAACAGAAAAACGGCTTTCAAAATATATATTAGTATAGATGAGTACTTGTTGCATTCAAATATGAATGTACCCAGCAAAAATCACGGTTACCACAGAAACGAAAGTGGAAACGAGCTAGGCGATGGGAATCGCTTACCCTTTCGCTTCAAGAAGGCATTATTTTGACATGGGCATGTCATTGGCCATAAGCCCTTACCCGCAGCATTACCTTCGAACGAAGAGAAAACGCATGGATAAATAAAATCAAGAGAAGCGAACAAAGAATGCCTTACAGAGAAACTAATGTAGAATGCCTAAATAAGTGCATACTTATTTATATTAAATTGAAAACAGTAAATACAGATTGTCTTAAAAGATTAAAAATTTTATAAATCAGTTTTTATACATACATACATATGTATATATGTACATACATGCATTTAATTAATCTTAAAATTGTACTTCCTCATTCTTGTACTTCACTTCATTGACTGACTTCAACTTCGCTGCAAATTGAACAAAGCAAAACATGATTTTTATGCGAGACAAATTTCCACAGAAAGCAACGGGAGAAAAAGAATTTTCGGATATTCATTCTATTTTTCTGCTGACTACGATGCAGCATTCTACTTTGCATTCCCCGAAATGAAGCAAAGAAGCGAAGCAAATAAAATATTGTAGGACATTCTACTTTGTATTCCCTGAAATGAAGCATAGAAGCGAAACAAATAAAAAAAGATCGTCAAAAAAGAAGCACTTTAATTTTTTTCTGGTTAGTCTAATAAAATAACAGTTATCTCGAAGAGTTGAAGAGTTACCAAGATACGATTTTAATTTTGATCGGAGATGATTACTTCGACTTTTGACATAAACATTTTTCTACACTACCCTTTTTGCATTACTTTAAATTCGCTTTTTATTTGTTTCATAGCCAAGCTCAGGTAGATGAACATAACAAGGCCTACATTGTCTATATATTTTCTATGTTCTTGGCAGAATTTAGCTGTGGATATTGTTTTTTAGACATAGAACTCTTTGGTACAGTCGAAAGTGGTTTTATCTGCAGGCTCGAACCACAAGTAGAACTTGTTCGAAAATAGGTTCAAGAGTTTGTACATTTCAGCAAAGTTAGACTTTCATTGAAGTGCAATGTACATACATACATACCACATTTTTAATTCCAACTCAAATGAATAAATTTATTTGTCTGGGTCGATTTTATATGGGAAAAAAACAGCCGTTTGTAATATGGTGATACATATATTTTCACAGGCTCCAGGAAAATAATAATAGGCCATAAAATACTAAATTAAAGCTTACGCAATTGAGATGTTAGATTAAAGGTTATACAATTTAATATCTAGCAAGCATATATCCTTTTCAAGATGTCGATATAAAAGAAATAAAAAAAGGAAAAAGGAAATTTTCTTGCCCTGGGACTCGAACTCGGATCTTTTGAGTGACACGAAAGTGCTCTGCCCACTGGGCCATTGCCATTGTTACAGCAACGTTATAGAAAATGAGATTTGCTGGAAACAAACAAAAAATGTCAAAATCATTAGTTAAATGTTAAGTAAAGGTTTTTCTTTACTTAACTTTAATGTTCATTAAATGCCATTAACGAAGCAGAGGGAATTTTATCAAAGTCAAAAGACATCACTAATATGAAAAAGTTTTCTTATAAAATTTTGGAAAAATGTAGTTAAAATGCTAAAATCTTGCAAGACTGGCTGTTTTAAAACTTCGAACTGTCTTCTTTCAATTCTATATTTCGACTACAAAGTTTTTAGCAAAGCCGGCGAAACTTGGTTTTTATGACCAGCAGTGGAACTCTGACAACCGCTACGCTAAATTTTCGTAGTACGTTTTGAACGTGCTTTTCTTTGTTTTCTCTTGAGAACAATACTGTTGATTAAATATATGCGCAATTCCAAAAAAAAAAAACAGTGTTTTCAATATTCAAATGTATAATAATGCGTTTTTCACAAATCTCTACTTACAGTATAAGACCGAACGTGATGGCATTGTGGAAACGCGAGTAGAGCAGAAGATCACCATACAATCAGATGGCGATCCAATTGATCATGACAAAGCATTGGCTGAGGCAATTCAGGTTGGTTTTTTTACATTTTGTGAAATCGCATAGCATACACTTTAATACTATCTTTTTAACCGACTTCAAAAAAAGGAGTAAGGTTATCAATTCGTCGGAATATTTTTATTTTTATTTTTTTTAATGTATATTACCGCATAACTTTGGGCCACGTCTACCGATTTCGAAAATTCTTTTTGCAAAGGTAGTATCTCAGAGGTGGTCCCATTTTAATTTGGTTTAGATCCGATCATTGGATCATGAAAAAATTAACGGTACCCCTAAATTTTTATATGAGATTTGAAGTCGGTTTTGTTTTTGGCTTAAAAATTACTTGTCTTATATCATTATTTGCAATTAACAGGAAGCGACAGCCATGAATCCAGACATGACAGTGGAGAAGATTGAAATACAACAACAAACGCAGTAAAATCATTATCTGAATACGCCCAATCTACATAGTATATAACATAAATATCCAATATAAATATATAGTTTAACTTAAAAGCACCCGCACATATACAAATGCAAGAACCACATTAGCCCACATACATACGAATGTCTACAAAAAAGCCTTTGACAAAAAATTTTTTATAAATAATGCTATATTTAAAAGAAACCAATAAGCAAGAGAAAAACTAAACATATTTTTTATTACATTATTTTTTTAATTATATTTAAGCCGATAATTATTATTAAAAACGGAGTAAATATATGTTAAAGTAAATGCGAAATTTGAACTAACCTAACAATTTAAGTTAAAATAAATGAAAAGCTTTTATTATTATCTTTGTAATGTTGATTTTTTTTATGTGAAACTGACTATAAATACATTAAACAATTAAATATTGTACATGCATTATGAGATAAACATAAATAATTACGTATGTACGTCACTTAGAGAACGGAAGTGAGTGAACGGTTACGGAGGATACATGTATATTTATTAAAACATACATATATCGTCGGTGATACTGCAAAACGTTCTATGTCGCTTATTACCTCTGGTGCTTAATTGATCTGTTATCTGTATTTGATTGCTTCTGGCAATCGTTCATCTTTACCAGCCAAAGGTAGACAGTTTTGTTATTCGTTTATTAGAGTGTAACGATTTGCAGATGCCGTCCGGTGCAAGCAAGAGACCATCTAAGTGTCAAGGGTACTAATAGACATAGACCGTTTTGCAGTATCACCGACGATATATACATACATACATAAATACATACCTATGTACATTAGGCATATGACTTTTTTTAGTATTGTATATACTTATGAGTAGGGAATGAGGAGTGGTTGAAAACTAACAAGAATAATGCTTGTAACAATGTTTGGTAAAACAGGTCACGTAGGAAACTCCGAAAAAGAATATATGGCGTCTTTTACTTTTACTTGAGTATTGTCTACATCATGCATACATATGTGCATGCGTATGTGTGGAACTGAAAAAAATGATATACATATAAGGAAAATTCCAAGTCAACCGAATAATCACTGCGACCAAAAATTGAAGGCACAAATTTTTAATTGCAGTCATAATTCGGTTGACATGGAATTTTCCTTACATTTGTATGTATGTACATTTTCATAGCTGTATTGATTAACAATAGCTCATTAGGAGAAAATATGTCTTAATTTTTACTACGGGAGCGTATGTAAACCACTACATATATATGCCACTATTGCAAAAAATCGACGATAATATATACTACATATGTACATACATATGTATATATACCATTTTTACAAATTCGTTATCGCAATACCCTGGGCGAACTTTTTATAGCAAATTTTCACAAAAGCGTTATTTTTGTTGGTTTTTTATCGCTCCTGGTTCTCTACTCATAGGTAAATATCGTTCGCTCAGAGTGAAAATTGGTTAAGTACAGTTTTTTAAATTTTACAATAGAGAAGAAATATTTCCGAAACTCGTTTTCTTCAAATATTTTTCAAAAATGGCAAAGCTCGAAGCTAAGAAACCTTTTGGTATTATTTTGAATTTATCTGATTTTTTAGTCATTCTTTGGACTTAGCAAATTTTCATTTCGTACAGAAATGAGAAAAAATAAAATAATTAATTCAGTCCCTTTTGCTTTTTTTTAATTTTCCATGCGTCCTGTAGCAAGATGTAAGTTTTCGTAAAAATAGACTTAACAACCTTTCACTCTAAGCTAGCGATCTTAAAAAAGTCATATGCATCTACATATTGTCATCTGATGTGCAAAAAGTCATAACTAATAAAAATTGAAAATGAAATTTTTGATTTAGATGATGAATTTCATCGAATTACAACTCTCCACATCATTTTATGAAAAAAAATATTAAAGTATTTTTCCATTTCATTTACGATGTTGTTACGTCTTTTTGCATTTCTGGTGACGATATGTACATATATACGTATAATCATTCATAATGCGAATAAAGTTTGACTCTACCAATGTGGAAATTTAAAATAGTTTACACTTTGTACTTTTGACACACAACCAATTCCACAAAAATAACACTTCGAAATAAAATTATCACTTATTTGTAAAAATTCACTGGTTTTTATTTCATTTTAGCTTTTATTTGCAAACTTGGATTAAAATTTGAATACTTAATTAATTTGGTATCTGCTGTAAAACGATTTTAGCTTCCAAAATATTTTGCTTGATAGCACACAGTATTTTATATTTTATTTTCTCAAAGTATTAACCTTTTCTATCAACAGTTTTTTTTTTTTAATGTGAAGTGATTTATATACATATGTACATACATATATTTCCCAGCTTTTGCGCGCAGCTCCGACTAAGCTAAGTTCGGTTTAAAGTTACGATAGGGTTGCCAGATTTTTATGGGCTAAATCAGTACGTTAGACTTTTTCATGCTAAAGAATCCGTACTTCTCAGTACATTTTTATTTAAAGCAAAATTATGAATGTAATGCGCAAAATACACCATACAAATATTTGCGCAAATACAAATTGGTACAAATAAGATTATTTCGAATTCTTATTCGATTCTTACTTGCACTAATTGGTATTTGCGCAAATATTTGTGTGGTGTATTTTGCGCATTAGCAACGCCAAGAAAACTTGTTTTTAACAATATCTTGGTATATTTATAAGTAAAATATAGTTCATAAAAAATAAGAGTGTTATTCATTTTTACATGAGTGTACACATCATTGTACACAGAAGCCAATAAATTATTTTATATTTATGACATTTTTGAATAGCAATAATGAGATCATTTCCATCTTCAGTGTTTAAATAGTCAAAGAATTCTATACATGCATTTCAGTTTAAAATTACTTTTAATTTGAAGTTCACTTTAAAAAAATTTAATTAGAAGCCGATTTCTGTCTTTGCGCCAGGAAGCAAACTACATACTTAACGCTCGTATCTACATACATATACTCTTTTAGGCAGTATAATACCTTTTTCTTGGATTCCAAAAATGCATATCGCGGGTTTTTCCAAAATACTGCGTTTATACTTTTTTGCTGACTAAAATTTTTTAATGCACAGTATTCGTGGAAATGCGCTATAAAAATGCATATAAGCGCCTATATACTGTTATGTAAAAAAAAAA